GTGATCACACAGTGAGGTCAATTGCAATTTACGTTTCATGTAAGTGATGTTCAGCACCATCAATGAGATTTGTCAACAAATGGTGCTTAATATTGTGTTCATATTCAAAGCCCACACATAAGCGATGCTACCAGATATATACACAAGCTAACAAGCCATACTGACCCAGCGACTACTCTGATAGCAACTGATTTGTACACACTACCACCATGTCGTACTCTGGTATATGCAATTACAATTCTGGGTTACAGGGGTATATCGCCCCTTAGCCTTATAAGGAATAATAGCTTTGTTATTATTATTAAAACTTTATTGGTCCACATTTGGACGCAGTCCGAAAACAGGGACTTATGGCTTGACCTTTGTGCTTCTGTGCGTCCGGACCTGTATCTTATACGTGCCAGGAACAATCACATTCACACATACATCATACATAATATTATACATGTATATATGCACATCAATTTGTTTCACGGTCTGATTTAAAATGGCCGACTGGCGGTCATTTTATTTTAATGAATGCAGTTCTAGTGCCATATCTCTGCCATGCTCTGACTGATAATGTTCAAATTCCATATATTCATTATACATGATCATGATATAAATATATAGATAATCTGGTTTGACTATATGATTCAAAATGGCCAAATGGCAGCCATTTTTTGTACTTAAAAAATCATCAAAAATCAAGCATTTCTGGCATTTCAGAACTAGATCTTGGAGTTTACGAATGGATTTTGTTCAGACTGGGTACATACATTAGACATTATGGGTTCCTGATGCACGTTATTTTATTTTCCGAATTCAAAATGGCTGACTGGCGGTCATTTTGTTTTAATGAATGCACTTCTAAAGCCATATCTTCATGCGATGCTTTGACTGACTGACGGGTACTGTGTCATGCATGGCATGCTTAATTAGGTATAACACAGTAAGTATACACTATGATGATGATGCAGCAGACATTTTCAGCCCTTTTTGACTAAAAAGCCATACTTAGTATCGTCAGATCTGTACATTTTGGTGATACACCTTTGTAGAATTTCATGAAAATCAATCAGTGATTCAGAGTTATGTGGCACAAATTTTCATCCTTTTTTAAAGATTACACTTTTTGACTCAAAACCATACTTAACATGAGAAGACCCAAAAACCAAAATTAACATATGTCTGGATGTGGCACATATCTTCATTATTCTTTTAACCAAAAACGGCTAAACAGGTGTTTATTACCATAAATAATATACTCATGAATCAGGGAATTGAAAAAGTATGTGTAATACTAAGTTTATCAAATGTGTACCAAGTATGAATGCAATCAGTTTTTTGTTTTTTTTTGGGGGGGGGGGGGCAAGTAGGAATAGGTTTAATTTTGTCTAAAACATTTTAAAATACTTATACATGTATATACTACTATACATACATTGTAGTACATGTATAGAATGTTACAACATGAATTTTATAAAAGTTTCCAAATAATAGTGCAGAGATATATGTAGGTAAGTAAAATAAAATAATAGCCAAAAGCGGGAAAAAGTATAATTGACACTTTTTTTATTTATACAATGTACTCATAATGAAAGCATGTTGGTTTACTACACTTATATAATTGATTGATCTTAGTGAGCATATTACTAACATCTGGTTATAAGTATCGGCAGTATAAATGTCTTTATTTTGTCCACTTATTTCTACAACTGATATTTCAGCCATATTTGAATAATAATATACTTTATTTCTAATACAACCTATTTTGACCACAGAAGACTTGGTCATTCACGTAAGCATGCATACACAACTAAAAGATTAACTTAAATATGTCTTACCTGTATTACAGTCATCTTCTGTAAATCCTGGTGGACATATACATTCTCCAGTGTCTGAATTACATATACCTCCATTATAACATGTAGGACAGTTAAGTAGACATGTATCACCATATTTACCATTAGGACAACCTGTAATAATTAGAACATTATGTGTGACATGTATTTCTGGTAAGTAAACTTAATA